CTGATAGAGTTGGAGTATGTCGCGCTTCGATTTTTAATGTTTTGAGGGAATATAAAGCTAATCATACATTTTCCAAACCTAAGACAAATCAAAATCGCCCAAGCATTATAAAATCGATAGATGAGGCTGATAAACATGCAATAAGGAGGAAAGTGCATTAATACTTTTTTAGAAATGAAATACTCACGGTGAAAAAAGTACTCACACAAGTAAATGATGCTATGTTGCCTAGTTTCAAGCGGTCTACATTCAGTGATTGTTAAAACATTCAAATTTCAAATGGAAGCAACGAGGACGCAATAGTTTACTGTTGGATAGGGAAGAACTCATAATCTGGAGAAGAGAATATTTGACCAAAATCAAAAAATATAGGGAGCAAAAAAGGACAATTTATTATTTGGATGAAACCTGGGTTAATGCTGGTCATACTACTCCTAAGGTATGGGTCGATGAAACCGTGACCTCATCTAGGAGGGCATTTCTAGATGGACTGTCCACCGGTTTGAAAAATCCATCTGGTAAACTTTTAATCGTAACTTAACAAAAGATACTTGAACATCCTTTAAATTATTTTGTCTTTCAAAGTAATTTGATATTTCAGGATATATTCAAGAAAACGTTAGCTTTTCTTAGCTTGTATATTTTATTTAATTGAAATCATTTTGTTTCTACAATATTTTACTTCCCACGCATAGACCAGGAATTCCGAATTTAAAATAACATTCATGACACTAGTTTACGTCGGTCTGGCTGTCTGTTGGCTGAACATCCTTCTCTTTCCGGAATTAACTACGCGTGCTATGTTTGTATCTGAATTACATCGTATTGTTGGCGAACCAGATTCTTAGAACCTTGTATCTTACATTGAAGTTCTGCCATCTGGGCTGTCGGGGATCTCTAGCTCAGTGGTAGAGCATCTGCGCGTAAAGCAGAAGGTCTCGAGTTCAAATCTCGACGGAGGCCAGTTTATTCTTCCGAATTTCAAAAAATCCGATTTCAAGTGTGTATTTTATCACTATGGTGTTTTATTAAGTTACATACCAGTTCTCACTTCCAGGTAAAGGAAAAATACTAATTGTTTGTCATATTGGCAATGAGAATGGGTTTGTTGCTGAAGGGCTGTGGTGTTTCGAGTCAAAGAAAACAGGTGACTACCACGAAGAAATGAACGGGGAATCTTTCGAAAAGTGGTTTTCTAATGTCCTACCATACCTGGAAGACAACTCAGTAATTGTACTGGACAATGCGCCATACCATTCTCGACTAATAGAGAAAATACCGACGACGTCATCGAAAAAAGTTGAAATACAAAATTGGTTGCGAGCAAAGAATATCAGCTTTGAGGACTCAATGCTAAGAGTCCAGCTATTGAAAATTGTCAAAGAGCATAAGGCTGCATACGAAAAATATGCAGTCGATGATATGGCAGCAAGCCATAACAAAACAGTCCTTCGTCTGCCCCCATATCACTGTGAGCTAATTCCCATCGAGCTCGTATGGGCGGACGTTAAAAACTTTGTGGCACAACATAACACTACGTATAAATTTTCTGACCTCAAGGTACTTTTTGATGAAGCCCTAAGCAGAATCGGAGCCGAGAAATCGGACAAGTGTGTTCGGCATGTGATAACAAAAGTCGAGACAAAGATGTGGGAGCTCGATAATATTTTAGAAAGACAAGTGAAACCACTGATAATTGAATTTGGCCAGAATGATACAAGTGATGAGGATGACAGTTCAAGTTCAACATTCTGATAAACAATGTTAATAGTTGTACGTAGAATTAAAATGATTACATTCCTTTTCAAATGGCGTTTATGATTTATGGAAATTCCAATGGAAGTCTTTTAAAGTGCACATAGTGGCCATATTTTGTTATAGATCTGCCATATTTTACTTCAGTCGCAACCATGAAGATTTTTTTCTAAGATATAGCATCCGCAATCGATAAATCGTTTGGAATCATTGAATCATCGCAAAAAGGTGCTGAAAACGACTCTGTACAAACCGTCAGCCTTCGAGATACGCGTGCGAAGTGCATGACTATGTTTACATCAACTCTATCTTGGACTTGGTTTTAGTGTGCAGGTATAGATTTTTGGTTTAAGTTTCCCTGAAATGGTACCTACATAACTTACCTTGAATATAATTCTGTTACTAAAACAGCAGTTGTCTGATTAAGGTGTTGATATTCAGATATAGCATAACATTGCCCAAAGACGTCTTAGATGCATCTGCTTCTTCGATCTCTCTCATCATTTTCTGAAACAAATGTTATATAGTGTTTAATATTAAAGATGAATGAAAAGCTCCTCATTATTATTTTTATCAGAGTGCTAAGGAGACGTCATGATAGAATCAGTAAGTCAGCCTTATAATAATAATAATAATAATAATAATAATAATAATAATAATAATCTATATTCCAAATTGTACAATGACATTACAAAAATTGTATAGACACTACAAAATGAAATGTTGCGTCATGATCACCATAACTATAGTAGTTTACCTTTTTTTTGTGTTACATGGTTATTTATCTTAAAACAGCTACTATCTTATACTATTACAACTCCCATAGAACTCATCTATTATATAAGGCTCTATCTGTACTAGAAATTGCTTAATAGTTTTTTTAAATTTATGTAAAGTGTTTATGTTTTTAATTTCATTTGGTAGATTGTTAAAAAATTTTAAACACATGTAAATAGGGCTTTTTTCTGTGGAGGATAATCTGTGTATTGAATAAGTAACATTGACTGTTCGAGTATCACCTCAACCTCAAATAAATTTTTATTTTTGAAAAAAATATAAGACACTCATACACATAGATGGCATACACAGTCATGATTTTTTCAGTTTTCAACACCCCCTTGCAAGTTTCATTAAAATTTAGTCCCTTTAGCAGACGTACTGCTCTTTTTTGGACAACAAATTTTTTTTGAATAAACCTATTGCGTCCCTAAAAAATAATCCCATACTTTAGAACACTTTCAAAATTAGCATGGTACAATATTTTCATACTCGTATTATTTAGATATCTTGATATCACCCTAAAACCATAGCAAATGGAATTGAGCCTCTTCAGCAGTTCGAATAAATGTGTTGTCCAATCTAAAAATTCATCAATATAGATGCCTAAGAATTTTACACTTTCACTCAACTGCAGTTGATGATCATCTATATCGATATATTGTGGCTTAACGACTTTACTCTGCTTAGTTCTAAATAATGTTGCATCAGTTTTGGATTTATTCAGCACTAGTTTTTTCCCAGAAAACCATGTATTCACACTTCTGAATAAGAGATTCCCATTAGCAGTTAGGTCCTCTACACTTGTCCCACCCAAAACTAAATTTGTGTCATCAGCATAGCAGATAATTTTATCCTTGCTATGATCACCACTAGTAACAAAGCAGAGATCGTTTAAAAAAACTACAAACAAAATGGGCCCAAGTATACTACCCTGTGCTATGCCGGTTGAAGTCAACTGAATGTTTGACTTGTAAGTTTGACCTCCTTTAACAATTTCAACCCTCTGTTGTCTATTATAGGTATGACTTGAACAATTCTAGCGCAGTTCCTCTCACACCATATCTTTGTAGCTTTAATAACAATATGTCTCTGTTGATGCAATCATAAGCTTTGGACAAGTCCAGGTAGAAACCAACCGCTAAGTTTCCCTCCTCTAATTGCTTAAGTACTGTTTGAACAAATTGAAAGATTGCAGTATCTGTTGATCGCCCATGTAGGTAACCATGCTGATGTGTATTAAATAAATTACAGTCATCCATGAATTCTAATAATCTCTTACTGATGCCTAACTCAAATAATTTTGAAAAACCTGTTAAAATATTGATTGGCCTATAATTTTCCAGTTGCTCTGGATTACCTTTTTTAAAAATTGGTTTTATAACAGCTATTTTCAAATTCTCTGGGAATGATCCTTGTCTAAAAGCATTATTAATAAGTAAGCATAAAACATGTTTTAAAACTGGAATGGAAAGTTTTACTATTGTTGTTGGAACATCATCTATACCACAGCTGAATTTATTTTTTATCCTCCTCGACAGTTCACACACTTCATCAACAGTCAGTCTTAAGTATAATGATTAGTTGTTTTCTTGTAAATTGCAGTCAAAAGGTACCTGTGTCACATCTTTCAGTAAAAGCGGAATTGCTGATAACAAATATTCATTATACTGCTGTGGTATTAGATTTGGATCTCCTTTGTTATGAATGTCTTTATGATTGTTTTGACCTGTGATTTCATGACATATCGCCCACATAGATTTACTTTTATTGCCCGAATTTCTGATTTTCTGATCGTATTTTTCTGATTTGGCCTTCTGCAACAAACAGTCATATTCTTTTTTTGTGTTCTTGTACATTTTCTTATAATCACCATCTACTCTACATAGGGTCAACAGAATATCCAGTCTATTTTTGCACTCTGTAATCACTTCATTACGCTCATGTTTCCTCACACGACTCTTATCACTAAATCGTTTCAAAGGAAAACACTGATTAAATATACCTATGAAATTATTGATGAATACAATCCATTGCTCATTTGCATTTCCAATATCCTGCACCAGCTCAATCCAATCCTCATTTTTTATACATTCAAGAAAGTATTGTTTGTTATCTTCTGAAAAAATTCTTTTATACGTGTAATTTGACGTTGTAACTGGGACCGCAAAGAAATTGATTTTCTGAGTAGTGTGATCGGAAATATGAGTGCAAAGAACAGATGCACTTTCAATTTCGAAATTTGTGAACATATTATCTATGCAACTAGCGGTACTATGCGTTATTCTTGTATTTGCTTTTATTTTTGGTTCCAAATTAAATGAGCTCATAAGCGTCAATAAGTTATTTTTGTTTTCATTCTCTATTAATATTTCAGTGTTGAAGTCTCCTGATACACAAATATCTGTTTGAAACAAAAATCTCATTTAATATACATTCTAACTTATTAATAAACTTTGAAAAGTTACCACTCGGAGGTCGGTACACAACTAACACCACAACGATTATATTACCCAATTTACATTCACTCACTGCACATTCAAACACACCTTCCTCTGCTACTTGACATCTGACATTTATACTTCTTTGATGCACACCGTTTCTCACTACCTCCAAAGCCATCTTCTCTGCAAAAAGCTGATGACAAACTAAAATTTTTTAGCACTAAGTAGGGTAGTTGCTGACTCGTTTTCCAAGGCTCTGTTACACATACTATTTGACCTTCCTGGTGGTTATTTAACATATCGTCCATAAGATCAACAGCATTTCCCAGTGATTGCACATTTTGATGTATGATGCTGACTAGCACCCGTTCATTTGTAATATAATGATTATCTATATTATATATTGTTGCAGATTTTTTTTGTTTGACTGGATAAATTTACTTGACTAATTGGATGGGACTGTAGTGGTTATTCTTCTGTTTTCCTTTTTTCAATGTTTAATATTCTTTGATAGCATAAGCAGTTTGGATCTGTGACCGCGTGGTTTGTATCTAGAGATTTTTTAAACTTCCTGTTTGTTTCAATGCAATTAATACAGTTTTCCATATTAGATGTACAACTATCACTTTTGTGTTGACCCGCGCATTTGAAACATGTTTCATTATTGGTACACTTAATAGCTATATGCCCATACCTAGCACACTTGAAGCATCTCACAACTCGAATATACTCATGCACCACACAACGCCTCCATCCAATGTTAGAATTAGATTTTAATTCTAAAAAGTAATTCACCTGTAATAATTGCTGTCTGTTTAACTACTATATACTATTGTCAAAAGGGCTATTAGGTGAAACGTCACGATTGGATCTGTTACTGTGTTTACATTATTACATACTAGACACTCCTGAGTTTTGTATGTTAGTTTCATAAATGTGTTGAATTCTCAAAGTGTGTTTCTAATTTAACAATATAATTTCAGTAGCGTTGTTTTTAATATGTGAAATATTTTTGGGACTAGCTCCGTCAAATGGTACATAACGTATGTGAAATACCTATGGTTCATCTACTAAAACGGCGGCGGCTGTCTGATTGAGGTATTGATATTCAGATATAATAGAACATTGCCCAAATATGTCTTAGAGGCATCTACTTCTTCGATCTCCCTCATCATTTTCTGGAACAGATGTTCTATAGTACGTATTTTGTATTAAATATGACTGAAAAGCCCCTCACTATTATTTTTATCAGAGTGCTTCGGAAACATTATGATAGAATCAGTAAGTCAGCTTTCTACATCATGTAAAAAATTAATGTTCCAAATTTTGCACAATATCTGAGATGATTTTATTTTTGAGAAGTAGTTCATCTGCAATAATTGCTATACCTACGTCTTACCAGTACTATTGCCAAAAGGGCTAATAGGTAAAACCTCACGATAGGATCTGTTAGAAGCTCCAGAATTTTTTATGCTAGTTTCAAAAATGTGTTGAATTCTTCAGATACATAACTTACCTGAAATACAGCTCAGTTACTAAAACAGCGGTTGTCTGATTAAGGTATTGATATCCAGATGTAATCAAGATTGCCCAGAGATATCTTAGAATCATCTACTTCTTCGATCGACCTCATCATTTCCTGAAACAAATGTTGTATAGTACTTGGTATTAAAGATGATTGAAAAGCTGCTCATTATCATTTTTACTAAAATATTAGACTGCTAGGGAAACGTCATGATAAAATCGGTAAGTCAGCGTTCTACATCATATAGAAAATGAATGTTTGCAATTTTGAAAAACATCTAAAATGAATTAGATTTTATTTTTGAAAAATAGCTCTTTACATGATAGAGTGCGAACTGTCCGATGAAGTGTCACAAAAAGATTCATACTCCTATTCATCGCTATCTGAAATGGTTGCAAGGCTTATAATAATCAGAGGTGATACTAAAATGGTTAAAAAACGTTTAGCTATTGTTATTGTCAGGAGAGCTAATAGTGAAACATCACGATAGAATCTGTTACTGAAGCTGGACCTTACATGAACTCTCCGTTAGATTTTAATTTCTATTTATCGTATCATATTTTTCTACATGTCAATACGGAGATTGATCCATATCCTCCGTCCCTGACCCCTTTGCAGTGGAACAAGTGATCTTAGTAGGCTATGCTAAGAAAAAATTGGTTAATATGTCAAATTGATTTGCTGCCTCACACCAAGCAGGTTTTGAATTTGTAGACTATCCCCCGTATTCACCAGATCTGGCCCCCAGTAACTTTATAAAAAAAAGCGCAAATCAAATGTCGAATATCCGGTGATTCCGAGGTCGCGAGTCTGCGCTGGGTCTGCTCTTATACAAAATCATCAAAGTGTGGGTTTAACCAAATTATAATTATTGCTTTCATGACACTATGATGTGATTAAGTGGCCTCAGTGGATTAGTACAACAATTACACGGTTATTCCAAAGCATATGTGAGTAAACGCAATTTATTTTTTCTGCATGGTCAAATTTGTGTACGAATAAAGCATCCCACAAACCGGCGCGAAATATTCGCTTTGGCTGCGAAAATTTCGCGGCGATGAATTCGCGATCAGATTAAAACACGGCGGTTTACGGACAGGCTCAGACTTGTGCGAAGCGAATGCGATTGTTCCAGCGTTTTTATCGCGGCGTATTTCAGTTCGCCTTTGACCGCGTTTTTGACGCCGTTCTTCAAAAATTCGCAATGGCAAAAACGGAATTATTGATAGAAATAGTGAAAAAGTATCCTTGTTTGTATGATTTGTCGAACGATGAATACAGGAATGTGAGAAAGAAAGACAAGATTTGGATGGAAATAGGAAAAGAATTAAATTATTTATTATTATTATTATTAAACAACAAATTTGAGTTGAGTACAAGTACTATAAACTCAAACACAAAAATAGATAATAGTGTACAGACAAAAGAAATATTACAATTTGACAATCTTAGCACTTCTGAAGTAGACATATACAGAATGGGAGCAATATGTTAAGCACTGCGGTATCTATCGTAATTGTTTTTGAAACTGTTGACGGATTCCGAGTTCACTACATAAGATGGAAGACTGTTCCATGCATCGAAGACACGGTTTGAGATGAAGCGCTGACGAGTAGAGGTTCTAAAAGCTTCCTTCTGCAATTTGAAGTTATGGCCTCTGAGACTGTTTGTTCCAGACGAAACAGATGCGACATGTCCACACCAAACAAATTATGCAGTGCTCTGAAAGTGATTATGAGATCTCCTCGTACTCTTCTATCAGCAAAAGCAGGCAGGTTATATAGCTCGAGGCGGTCTTCATAACTTGGCCTACGTGTGCCATATGGCATACGTGTAGCACGACGCTGAACGGCCTCTAATAAGCTGCTATCGCGAACAAGGTTTGAATCCCATACCGGACCAGCAAACTCCAGTAGGGGTCGTACGAAAGTTGTGTACAAAAAGGAGGAGGTACTAACGGTGCAACCGCTAAATGACCTTTCCATCATATATAGCAACCGCTTTGCCTTAGAGGTTATGTTCTGAATGTGCTCCGACCAGGTGAGCCGGCCATTAACTGTCAGACCAAGATCTGTGTGATGAAGAACAGTCTCTTATATGTTAAGTTAGGATTATTCTTTTCCAGGTGGAGAACGTAGCATTTCGATATATTTAAAGGCAGGAGCCAGAGTTCTGACCACTTTCTGATCAGCTTGAGGTCTTCTTGAAGCACAGATGAGTTCATGACAGTGTTATAGACTTTAGTATCATCTGCATAGATGGAACACATAGAATAAAGTCGGGTGGGAAGGTCGCTTGTATAAAGAAGAAAAAGTATTGGCCCTAGCACAGATCCTTGTGGAACTCCACTAGTAACACGATGACTAGAAGAATAGGCGTCTCCAACACGGACGGAGAAAGATCTGTCTAACAAAAAAGCTTCAATCCATAACAACAAATTTCCCCTGATTCCGAGATGTTCAAGCTTGTGCAGGAGCCTTTTGTGCGGAACTCGATCGAAAGCTCTGGAAAAATCCAGAAAAACCACGTCGACCGGTTCATTTGCGTCTAAAGATCTGGTCCAATTGTCAATGCAGTGTAACATGTTGGTGATAATTGATCTACCAGGAATAAAACCATGTTGGTTGCTAGGCAGCAGGTTGTTCTTGAACGCAAATGTCATAAGTTGTTCCTGGACGATCTTTTCGGCTATTTTCGCAGCTATAGGCACAAGACTGATAGGACGGTAGTTTTTCGCAGATGTTTTATCTCCTTTTTTGTATATAGGTGTCACAGATGCAGTACGCCAACAGGAAGGAGGGATGTGATTTTGAATCGAGGAGTTGAATATAATGCACAGGGGGTATGCGAGAGCTGAGGCACAGGACTTCATAACGGCAGAAGTAATCCCATCCTTTCCATGGGACGAACAAGTTTTCAGTTTAGTAAGGTGCCTCTCAATGTCCTGAGGTTGAAAATCTATGCTACAGATGGTCGCTAGGCATCTATGAGGGCTGGATAAGTTCGGAAGAGTGCCATCACCATCAGGTTCATTCACAAAGTCTTCACTGAAAGCATCGGCAAGAAGATTGGCAGATTTTTCGGCATCAGTATGTAGGTGGCCATTGGGATCACGGATTTGTGGGGAAGAAACCTTAGAGTTCAGGGTGGATCTCAAGTATCTAAACAACTTCTTCTTATCTTTCGATAATACAAGATTTTGCTCAAAATTGCGCTTGGCGTTTTTCAAGTTCTTCGAAAGGATGTTAGAGAAAGATCGATGAGATACATAATCCTGTTGTAGTCTACTTCTTTGGAATCTTTGCCATAATGCTTTTTTATGCCTCAACATCCTTGAGAGGTTATGGTTAATCCAAGGCTTTCTTGGGTGACTGAATATCTTCTTTGTGGTCGTATGCCTAGTGACTTCCAGTTGGATTCGACGAGAGAATATATCCCACATATCTTCAGTGCTACGTTCTGCAAGCAGGTTGGACCACTTTATTTCAGACAATGCTCGATAGTAGATGTCTTATGGGGATTCGGTCTCAAAACTTCCAAAATCCGCCACCAGAGGCGCTGGCGTCGCGCGCCATTGACAGGTTGTTGGACGGAATCTGTATTCATGAGTTGGGGATTCCGCCGCTAGATGGCGCTGTCAAACCAAACGGAATCTGTGTGTCATTGGACACCTGTCATGCGTCATTGGGCATCTCACGCATAGATGGCGTTAAAACGTCATCTGTCATACGTCATTGGACACCTGTCATTGATGGGTTGGGCATCTCGCGCATAGATGGCGCCGATTTGTTTGGCGCTGTACAAACCAAACGGAATCTATGTGTCATTGGACAGCTGCCATTGATGGGTTGGGCATCTCGCGCATAGATGGCGCCGATGTCGCACCTGTCTGGTGTTGGCGTGGATTACGGGGGGCAACGTGTATACAGGGGTGCATCGAAAAATAGCGGATCGATGGACCGACGGTATATCGTTAAATCGTATATAGCAAGGCGTGACCTAAATAGCGTGGTGGGCTCCTCTGGTCGGTCGGTCGGTCGGTCAGAATGTCTCATAACCTGTATACGATGTACTGTTATTATTATACAGGATGATACCGTTCAAAATGAAACTTTATGTAGTAGAATGATGGTGGGGGGGTGGGGAGTCGAAGGAACCGACTGTTTTTTTTTTGTTTGACAACAGGCTGAATACGAAATAAACATAGCTTTCTGAAAAATGTATTTTTTAATGATATACAGATACAAGTTTAGATAACAGAGTTTTTAGTTGATGTAACAAATCCTCGCTGGGGCATGGTACTCCAAATAGAGTCCAATGAAATGGTCCGGTCGCAACAACTTTTCTTGTAAATTCATTAAATTTATAGTAAGTTGCGTGACGGAAAAAGTAAATATGGCCATCAATCCATCGAAATGCGAGAGAAATATCTTCAGGTAATTCAGGAAATATGTCTCTTATCCGTCCTCTGTTCAACACATCAGTAAAATCGTTAGAAAATTCTATATATGACATATTATTATAAAAGGTATAGGACCGTCCTGCGTTTGATTGAAAAATAGCATTGATTCGAGCCCTATCGGGTATATCAATTGAAAAATTATCAAGAAATTTAATGGTAGGGAATGATGCTGAGAAATAGTTGTTTGGAGACACAATGGTAATCAAGTCACCGTTTGTTGATTGGAAAATATGTTGTAAAGTGTATTGACGTAATTCTGTAGGAACATAATCGACAAGAAGTTCAGGCTGAGATGGGATAATCATTTCGTTTAAGTCTAGTTTCCATATAAACATATCATGTGCAATATATAATCGGTAATTTGAAAACTCTGGAGCAATGGCTAAAAACATAAAATCTGGAATAATATCACACAAATTTTTGAGGATCGGCTGCTTACGAGTTGTAGATCTTATAGTTGTTGTTGTTTTTGGTATTGCTGATGCGGTGGTAGACTTTGGGATTGAATCATATTTGTTTTTTCTTCCATATAGATATTGTACTGCATTTATATCATCAACATCTAGACCACGAATCTCATGCTGATAGAAGGCAAACATAATAGCATTCGGAGAAGCACTATGTGCTATGCCGAGGGCATGTCCAATTTCATGAACCAACACCATAAGAAAACTAGTTTGATTTTTGGGTATATTAGGATTATTTCCAAAATACCAGCGTTCATTTATATCTAAATGGATTTCTCTACAGGTGCCGCTAGAGTCAGGAAAGTATGCATGTCCTAAAACGCCGCCAGCATCATCTAATGTCAATGGACATTCATCATTACCCATACAGTTTGCGCTAAAATAATGAGTCTTGCTAACCATGGTTATAGTAATATCAGGAGGATATAGAGTGGGATTGGTAACCATTGTAAATGTTAAGTTTGAAACATTTTGCCACATCTGAAAAGCCATTTCTGCATCTTTTTGGGCCGCAGGTGTGTTTCGAGGGAAATACCATTTCAGGTCATGTTTCCGAAATGGAAAACTTGCTCTAAATTCAGCATCACTGTATTGACAACGCGGACGATTCATAAATTCAATTGTTGCATTATTCAACAAGCCATCCACTGGTAAATTATACTTTTCTTGCAAGTTAGTTAGCAAAGTAGAGAGATCTGTTGTATTATCGATGATATGTTCATATTGAGTTAGGTATACTATAGCGTCTTTTTCGGAGAAATCGTTGCAAAGCACGTATGTGAAAGTTGAAATAAAAAATAATACGTCTACCCACATCAACATCTTGATAGAGAATGATGTCAAAAATCTCAGATAGCAAATATAAATTCGTTTACCCCCCCAATCAAAATCTTGACTGAAAAAAAATTAGGCAGCAAATATACAATAATCATACACGAATTTCTATATTTCTAAAATTCTACTCTCATGTGCAACTTGTAATTGGAATTTCCGCCGGACAAACGATACATTCATGTATTACTAAGAAATTATATAAAAAATACTGCAACCGCAATGAATGTTGTTTTCTCGATAAAAATGGTACTGAGAATATGATGAATATAATATGCATATTTACGATACAATTATCTCATGCACGCGTGTGTCATCTCAACTACGTACTTATATTGAGCGAGCGCATGCAGTTTTCTCGATAAAAATGGTACTGAGAATATGATGCATATAATATGCATATTTACGATACAATTATCTCATGCACGCGTGTGTCATCTCTACTACGTACTTATATTGAGCGAGCGCATGCAATAGTCATCATTGTTTCACACTTAACGCACAACGCTGCAAGCTGCAACAACGACCGCAGTACAATTAGTGCTTCGAGAGAGACGAGAGAGCGAAAATTTTAAAAAAAGTAAGTGCTATTTTATTTAATATTTTTCTTTTTTATGTCTCTAAATGCAACTGTTTTTTTTTTTCGTGTTATGCTTCAAAATAGTTAGACGACTCAATTTTTTTTATAGATGGATTTATCAAAAATTAATGCTGCTTCTTCGATTGTAGACCGCAAACCTATCAGAAAATTAAAGGACCTACCAGTCGGGACACCATTTGCAATCCAAGCAGCTAAAGTGGTCAAGTCGAAATTTGGGGAAGCCGTGCTACTAGATTTAGGACCGGAAGTGCTATTTCTACCACAGCGGGTGACGGAAACGTACCAGCCGGTCATCGACGAACTTTTTCACGGAAAATACTCGATCATCTTCCAAGGGGAAGTGGACGTAGGGAAAAGCCGACCGCTAGCATCATTCAAAATAGTGGAAAATTAACAAAGCAGAGAACAGGAGGAGGACAGGGTGAGCATTTTTATATATTTTTGAGTAATGTGTTTGCTTGAAAAAAAAAATGTCGTCTTTTCAAATGTCTTCAAATAAGGTTAAAAAGATCATCAAACAAACAGACGGTGTTCTACTATCAATTGTTAGTCTACGGAAAATTTTATTTGATAATTTTACAATCAGAGACGCGGAAGTGTGGCTGAAACGAATAGAAAAACAAATTAGATTATGTAAACGGGTAATTCGTAGTAGAAGGCAAAATAAATTATCTGTAGGGACCTGTAGAAAAGTAGAAACAAATTTGGGGCATTTTAAACATTTTAGAAAGTTGATTTTAACTAGACATATTGGGGCAGGACTTCACTTAACATTGGGTCAGAGGGTTAGATGGGAAAATGTAGAATCGAGCTTTCAAAGTAGAATAAAAACCGGTTCCATAGCTAATTTGCGTCATAAGGACTTGAATCAATTTTTAGCAGATTGTGTAGTTGTTTTTAAAAGGAAAATTAGGAATATTTTGAACACCCATTGTGCGCTCAAAGTAAATACAACATTTTGCGGGGAGTTTATTAGGAAATCGGGGGATAATGAAATTTTGGGAATTAAATATATTAATACTAAAAATCATATTATTGATACATCAACTCAAATAGACGAGTGGTTTAAGATATATGTTAAAGATAAACTTTTAAACGAATTATCGGAATTTGCTGAAAAAGATTCGGGATTTGCGTTAAATAAAATTATTTCCTTAGTTGTTAATATCAGTAAATATCAATTGGGAAACGGTTCATCTTATATTAGACTACCAGAACCGATTATAAAGAAAAATGCTTGTATAAACATTAAAAATATAGATCAAAATTGCTTTTACTGGGCCATTGTAAGCGCTCTTCGGACTCCTAGCAAAAAAAGACATGCAGAACTAACCTCCTCATATCCACACTTTACTGACGTTTTACAAACAGAAAATTTAGATAGTCCTATGCTGCTAACAAAAATTTCAAAATTTGAAAAGATGAATAACATTTCAGTCAATGTTTACGCTTTAGAATTGATCGAAACAGAAAAAAAATCATTTTACATAGTAGTACCAGCAAGATTAACGGAAAATAAACGGGATACGCATGTTAATTTACTTTTAGCTCAAAATAAATATTATCCGCGTTTAAATGATTATGATGCTCCCCACCAGCGCCAGCAAATGAAGATAATGATTCAATCGATGAAATTAAATATCACTATTGTTGGATTAAAAATCTTTCGCGTCTTATTAGTAGCCAGTTAAATAAACATCGTGAGAAAAAATTTATATGCGATAGATGTCTGAACTATTTCCATCAGCAAAATAAATTAGTTGAACATGAAAAACTGTGTTCTAAATTTAATAAATATAAAATTAACCTTCCTAAAGAGAGCTGCGTTGAATTTAAAAACTTTACATACCAACAAAATACTCCTTTTGTTGTTTATGCAGATTTTGAATGTCAATTAGAAAATCATAAAGAAAGTAGCGTCGTAAATTTAACTAAAACCATAAAATATCAAAAACACGTTCCGTATAGTGCTGGTTTCTATGTAAAATGCAGCTATGATGATAGCCTTTCTTATTTCGAGAGCTTTCGAGGTGCAGATTGTATGGATTGGTTTGCAAATCGTATGGCTGGTGTTGCGCAATTTGTAAACTCAAAAATAAAAACAAGCGTACCTATGATTGAAAAATTAGACACATGTAAGGCAACATCATGTCATATTTGCGGTAAGAGATTTTCAAAAACAAAAAAAGACATAATCGTTAGAGATCACAACCATTTCAGTGGAGAGTTCAGAGGTTACGCACACCAAGCATGCAATCTGAACTTTAGAAAATTGTTTGTTGTGCCGGTTATATTCCATAATTTAAGTGGGTACGATAGTCACTTTATGATTTCGAATTTATGTAAAAAAGGTCGCTTAAGTCTACTTCCCATCAACAAAGATAAATACATCTCCTTTACGCTGCACTCAGATGAAAATAACATTAAATTGCGGTTTATAGACTCTTTTCGATTTATGGGGGCGTCTCTTGATGAATTAGCTTCAATTTTAGCAGTATCAGAAAAGAAAATTTTACAAAGGGAATTTCAAAATTTAGATGAAGATAAATTCAAATTATTAACACAGAAAGGAGTTTTCTGTTACGATTACATTGATTCGTTGAAAAAATTAAATGAAACGACTTTGCCCCCAATTGAAAAATTTTACAATAAATTAAACGATGAAAGTGTAAGTGACGAGAAGTATGCTCATGCGCAATCTGTTTGGCAACAGTTTAACATTAAAACGTTAGGAGAGTATTCTGATATATATTTAAAAACAGATATTCTGCTTCTTGCCGACGTTTTTGAGCAATTGCGTAAAAAATGTTTCTCCACCTATGGTCTGGATCCTGCGTGGTACTATACAATGCCCGGATATACGTGGGACTGTATGCTCAAATACACTGGGTGTAAGTTAGAACTACTAAAGGATCTAGATATGGTGATGTTTTACGAAAATGCTATAAGAGGTGGAATTTCGGTGTGTAGCAACCGATTTTCGGAGGCCAACAATAAATATATGCCCGAATATGATCCTGAAAAGCCGTCCAAGTACCTTATGTACCTGGATGTGAATAGCTTATATGGGAAGGCTATGCAGCAACCCTTACCCTACGGAGGGTTCAAATGGGTAGATGATGTAACATCGTTTGATGTGATGTCAATACCCGACGACTCTGACGTAGGGTACGTGCTACAAGTCGATCTATCGTACCCACAAGAACTGCACGATAAACACAAAGATTTTCCGTTTGCGGCAGAACATAGCGTACCACCCAGCGACGGCGGGGTAAAATTGCCGAAATTAATGGCAACACTTACGGATAAAAAAGAGTACACGGTTCACTATAAAAATTTAAAACAAATGCTAGCTAATGGGTTAAAGTTAACGAAAATCCATAAAATTTTACAATTTAAACAAGCAGCCTGGCTGAAACCCTACATCGAGTTGAATACTCGATGTAGAGCTGCAGCCCGGAATGATTTCGAAAAAAATCTTTTTAAATTAATGAATAATGCAGTATTCGGTAAGACCATGGAAAATATACGTAAGCACCGCGTATGTAAAATCGTTAAATCTTGGGGTGGTCGCTATGGGGCAGCAAACTTGATTTCGAGTTTTCGGTTCCACAGTCGCACAATTTTAGAGGAAAATCTGGTGGTTATCGAATTGAACAAGGCTGAAATAACGTTTAACAAACCTCTGTATGTAGGGCAGGCAATTCTAGACCTATCGAAACTAGTCATGTACGATTTTCATTACACCTATATGCTACCAAAAATGGGTGCAGAAAGGTGTAAGCTCATGTACATGGACACAGACAGTTTTATCTACGAATTGCAATGTGAGGATGCATATGAGGAGATCATTAAAGCTGATTCCAGTAAATTTGATACTTCGGATTATCCTGAAAATAACATATATAAAATACTGCGTAAGAACAAAAAGGTGCCGGGTCTAA